AGCTGTCAATTTAGTTCTTATTATAAAATCAAAGAAATCAATAAGCTACAGGGGAAGATACATGTACATTAACAGCAATAGGCTTCTTCTTTTGAGCCATGACAATAGTTTTCAAGAACAATGTCATGCAAAGTGAAAGAAACAATCCAAATAGGGTGTCTATATCCGATGAAAATTTTGGGTCCATTTTATTTCTGCTATAAGGAGTGATTTGTAGTCAGCATTGCATATTATTTAGCGTGCTCCCAGACTGAATCCCAGTCTTCGCTGGATATATTTAGTGCAAAATAATTTTCCAACATCTGTTAAATATTATCTGTCTCTTAGGATGGTCAAACTCAATATAACATAAATATGAGATACATATTTTTATCTTGTATTTTTATCAATATTTTCTCAATTACAGACTTTAGCGGTATACAAAGTAGTATTTTGCCTATATTCAAAATGTTATATTTAAAACATTATTATTTAAAATGTATAATTAAGTTAATTTCTGAGGGAAAATTAATAAGGTCGTGTGGCAAAAAAATATTTGTTCCTGTTTGATACTGTGACTTGACTTGACTGGTGTTGTTCGCTATTAGCTCCTTGTATTAAAGTTAATCTTGTTTATAAAGATAAATATGGGTTTATTATAGCCCACTCTGCCACTTAATTTCAGAGATCATTACAAATAAATTATTAAATGCTAAAACTGAATAAATTTAAATGAACAAACTTGGCAACTTGGCATCAACCATGTGAAAACAGGGGGTGCTGCAGCCCCCTCAGCACCCCTACTTCCTGCGTCCCTGCTCCCTACGAATTAATGCAGCCTCATCTACAGTGTCTGCATGATTAGGGTTAGGGTTAGGGAGTCAAATGCTCCTTTCTGAAACGGGCCTCAGGTGTGTGTCTCGTTATCGCCCCCTACTTAAAGGTGCAGTAAGTGAATTTTGCCAAACTCTGTTGATATATGAAAGCACCAAACAAACACGCCCATACCTCAACAGAGGCCCGTTTCAGAAAGGAGGTTAAGTGAAAACTCTGAGTATGTCCTGAAATGAGGGAAACTCTGGGTTTTCCCTTTCAGAATGGGAGGCTTTTGAAAGAGAGGTAACTTATACTCAGAGTCAGTTACCATGGTAACTTACACTGTGAACCTAACCTGGGGTGCGTTTCCCAAAAGCAGCTATGGTCGCAAGTTCCGTCGTTACCAATAGAGCTCAATGGAACGAACCACCATAGTTAGCTAACGATGCTTTTGGGAAACGCACCCCTGGTCGAGAGCAGGTTTTCTTTGGTAAACCCAGAGTTTTTTTTCAGTCTCCTCCCTCTTTTTAAAGCGCAAGCGATGTTTAAAGGGATAGTTTACCTTGAACTATCCCTTTAAATACCTCATTCATTCATTCACGCTGCAAAAATGCTTTCCTTAGTGAGTATTTTGTAATCTAAATTAAGTGCATTTTACTTAAAAACAAGAAAAATAATCTTAATGCAAATGGAAACAAGATTATTTTTCTTTCCCCATTGGCAGATAATTTGCAAAATAAAAATACACTTAAAAGACAAATAACCATACTGCTTATAGCTGAACTTGCTTCATTATTTATGAACTTTACACATATTGAACTAAATCAACACTAAACTGAATTGAGCTGAACAATGACACTATACTGTCTTGTTAGAGCTGATATACAGCACAAGTTTCCATCACTGATTCTGCTATTTTCCTGTTTATTACTGTGAATCTGCTTTGAAAAAAAAACTTTGTATAGACTTTGACTTGACTTATAGTAAAACAATATCATTTTTATTAAGCCACAAATTTAAATGCCCATATTAAAAATGAGATAGAATTTGACATTTACGCATTTGGCAGATTCTTTAATTCAAAGTGATGTATGATGCATTCAAATTATACTGTACATTATTCAATTTAAATATTGTATCCTTATAAGTTATGGTTCTAATGAAGGTGAATGAGACAAAGAGTTTTACTTACAGTAAAGTTTAAATTTCAGCAGCTGACATTTGACACACACAACATGATTGATATGCAAAGAAAAAAAGGGAGGATCTAATGGACCTCTTCTATGATATTTTATGCTGGTTTGAATCCTCTGTAAATCACCTTAATGAAAAACTGAAGCTTTTACATCATCAGTCGTCAGGGATATTTGTCGTCAAATGCTAAACGAACTGGTTTTACTTCTTTTCCTGAAGGAGAAGGAAATTACGGCTTTGTCTTTTGCAGTTTTCTTAACTTCAGTTCGATGCTGTTTGGCAGACCGTACTTGACCAGCTCCTGCTTTATCTGAAACACAGATGGACAAGCAGAACAAATTTCCCCATGTGGTCTATTTGAACCGTATTCTGTTTAAATATTCGTAGTAAGTGTGACGTACTTGCTGTAAAAATATTTCAGTGCTGCCACTCTGTGTCAGGTCTAAAAATGAGGAAAGTCTCACTCGAAATCCAACGACATTGTCTAAAGGGAAAAACACACAGACATCTAAAAACTCATGTGTATTTGTTGACACTAATCATACAAACACTATATGGGATTATATGAAATTTATCAAAACGTTATGTATAGATAAGACTTTTCAAGATGCTGTTTCTTGGTCCACTGTCCACCCTGAAGACCCATCGACCGGGAACAATGAAAATGTGATGTTTATCTGCTTACCCTCAGGGCATCCAAGATGTAGGTGACTTTGTTTCTTCAGTAGAACACAAACGGAGATTTTTAACTCCAACTGTTGCAGTCTATCAGTCGTATAATTCATGGCAATGGTAACAAAATCTATGAGAGTAAAAAAAAAAAACATGCAGACAAATCCAAATTAAACCCTGCGGCTCGTGACGACACATTGATGTCCTAAGACACGAAACGATCGGTTTGTGCCAGAAACCGAACAGTATTTATATCATTTTTTACCTCTAATACACCACTATGTCCAACTTCCTTAAGCTCGCGCACGGCATCCGGTGCGTGAGGTGTGTACGCGTTCTGGCGTAGTTTACGCAAGCGCCGGAAGGGATCTCTCGTGCGTATACGTCACTCATGGTTTACACAGTGCCCAAACATTGTAGGTACGACGGCTAATCAAAATGGTACTTACTTGCACTTATCCGGATTGTTCAAACC